TCGAAAATCACACCTCAGCCGTCATCAGAGAATTCACACAGGCGAGAAACCATATGAATGTAAAGAATGTGGAAAAGCTTTTAATCGAAAATCACACCTCAGCCGTCATCAGAGAATTCACACAGGTGAGAAACCATATGAATGTAAAGAATGTGGAAAAGCTTTTATCCAAAAGTCACACCTCAGTAAGCATGAGAGAATTCACACAGGTGAGAAACCATATGAATGTAAAGAATGTGGAAAAGCTTTTAGGTTAAAGTCATACCTCAGCAACCATCAGAGAATTCACACAGGTGAGAAACCATATGAATGTAAAGAATGTGGAAAAGCTTTTAACCAAAAGTCACACCTCAGCATGCATCAGAGAATTCACAGAGGTGAGAGACCATATCAATGTAAAGAATGTGGAAAAGCTTATAAGTTAAAGTCAATCCTCAGCAAGCATCAGAGAATTCACACAAGTGAGAGACCATATGGATGTAAAGAATGTGGAAAAGCTTTTAACCGAAAGTCAGACCTGAACATGCATCAGAGAATTCACACAGGTGAGAGACCATATGGATGTAAAGAATGTGGAAAAGCTTTTAAGTTAAAGTCACACCTCAGCAAGCATCAGAGAATTCGCACAGGTGAGAGACCATATGGATGTAAAGAATGTGGAAAAGCTTTTAACCAAAAGTCAGACCTCAGCATGCATCAGAGAATTCACACGGGTGAGAGACCATATGGATGTAAAGAATGTGGAAAAGCTTTTAACCAAAAGTCACACCTCAGAATGCATCAGAGAATTCACACAGGTGAGAGACCATATGGATGTAAAGAATGTGGAAAAACTTTTAACCAAAAGTCACACCTCAGCATGCATCAGAGAATTCACACAGGTGAGAGACCATATGAATGTAAAGAATGTGAAAAAGATTTTAATCAAAAGTCACAGCTCAGCATGCATCAGAGAATTCACAGAGCTGAGAAGCCACATTAATTTAAAGAATGTGGAAAAGCTTTTAACCAAAAGTCACACCTCAGAATGCATCAGAGAATTCACACAGGTGAGAGACCATATGGATGTAAAGAATGTGGAAAAACTTTTAACCAAAAGTCACACCTCAGCATGCATCAGAGAATTCACACAGATGAGAGACCATATGGATGTAAAGAATGTGGAAAAACTTTTAACCAAAAGTCACACCTCAGCATGCATCAGAGAATTCACACAGGTGAGAAACCATATGGATGTAAAGAATGTGGTAAAGCTTTTATCCAAAAGTCACACCTCAGCATGCATCAGAGAATTCACACAGGTGAGAGACAATATGGATGTAAATGTGGAAAAGCTTTTAATCAAAAGTCAGACCTTAGTGGGCATCAGAGAATTCATGGAGGTGAGAAACCATATGAGTGTAAAGAATGTGGAAAAGCTTTTAAGTTTAAGTTATACCTCAGCAGGCATCAGAGAATTCACACAGGTGAGAGACAATATGGATGTAAATGTGGAAAAGCTTTTAA